AGCGCCCGGCCTCTCAGCACGGCGCCCGCGTCACCAGAAAGCGTGGCCTGCCGGGGCCGGGAGCGGAGCTCGGGCCTCCTGCGCTCGGCCTTGTGCCCTGCGCTGCCATAGCGTCCCGTCTCGGTTCTCAGAACGCGGGGTTTGTGTGGTGCTTCCCTTACGGCAGCGTCGCTTTTTCTCTCCCCCCTGTGCCAGGCTGCTGCTCAGCCAGCCCATCCAGCCCATGACGCCCGGGTCCTGCAACGCACGACACCCGTCCGACCTCCGCCTGGCGGGACCCCCGGCCAAGTACGTGACTCGGCAAAGACAGACCATCCGCGTTGCCTCTGAGGGGAAACTGCCTTCTGCAGTGAGATGGCGAAGGATCCGTGAATGTGTTACCGTGCCGAGCCTGCGTCAGGGTCGGCCTGACCCTGCCTGGCCACATCAGGGTCGAAGGAACGACCAGCAGAAAACATCAGTCAGAAAATGCTTTTTTTTTTTTTTTCTTAGCTGTTTTTTGTGACTGTACTTAATTACGAACTGCTAAAATCCTAAGGCAGCACGCCATTACTTCAAAAGCAGTTCTGTGCGTCACCTCAGGAATGTAGGTACTCAGTGCTTCTTCTTTAAACGTCACTATTGCTGTTTCAGATTATCTTGGGTTAAACTTTTTAACTTTAAATACACAGCATTTTAGATCTGCTTTTAAGCAGATCTAAATAAAAGAGGCCCGATTTGCAGAGATACCTCTCCCAGTTCACGCAGACGTCCCGGCTCACGGGACCCCTCCTCGGGAGCTCACATCCTGGCGCGGGCACCCGAGCCGCAGCGTTCCGGACCAACCCCTAATGTCGAACAGCTGTCGAGCGGACAGGCGCCACGCTGTGATCTCATCCCCCGCTGCAGGATAAACAGAATGAGGCCGGGCTGGTGATAGCCCCGTTGTGGCTTTGCCCACAGATTTCCACAAAACAACACGTATTTGGGTTTCGCGATGCAAACGCAGCAGACTCTTGCAGACTGGCAAGAGGAGCCGAGTATTTTGCTCCTGGCCCATCCCTCACTCCGGATGACTTCTAGAGGCTTCTTCTGTTCCCACAGCGCGGCTCACAGCGATGGGAACCGCTGACCATGCTTGGCAATATGCGTATGAGCAGCTTAAGAAGTAGTCAACCCTAGGCGCCTTCCTGCAAGAGATTACCACCCCACCGGCAGTCGCAGGGGAGCACAGGCAGCAGAACAGGAGGTGCGTTTACTTCTCTCTCGCTGCAGCGCAGCATATGAAGACAGAATCAAAGGCCATTTGGTTTAATGAGCCTGGGATGTGAGTGCTGTGGCTGAGAGAGAAGACGTGCACAAGCCAGAATCCTTAATGAATCTAAAGCGTGGTCTGGATTTTGAGGTGAGATGTGTTCTGCCCTCCGAGTCCAGCTCATGCGCAGGGTGAGGGAAAACGATGCTGTCAGCGGTGCTGTCGTTCATACTAGCAGGTGCCGTGCACTGGAATCCTTTATTAGGAACTATTTATGAAGACTAGGGACTTCCATCCCTATCCTAAGAAAAGTTCTTTGCTTCCAAGAGTTTGTTCTTGACTGTTTTCTTTCTCTCTTCCACAGGTATGCTCAAACCCAACAAATGTTTCAAAGTTTGGAGGTGCAGACTTCCAGCGTGGGCTCTCCAATCGTACTGATGGGACAAGCAGTGTTACACCAAGGGTTCGCCACGACGCCTCCTTCCCAGCCATCCTCTCTGCCACCTATGCAACTCCAGCACCAACAGCATCAGCAACAACGCTACCTGCAGGTAGGGCAGGACGAAGAGGGTGGTGCATAACACGCACACGCGGAGTAGGAAGGGTAGTAAGGCGAAGGGGCTGTGCAAAACGGGGCCCCAGGTTTCAGCGGGAGCCAGATCGTGGCAGGACGGCCATTTGAGAGACACTGAAATGCGCGAGACACTGATAGAGTGCCGTGCACCCTTCCACCGTAGCAAGGGAGCAGGGAGAACAGTCAGAATATTTAAAAGGAAATTACTAATTCTGTACATTGGAAACATAATCAGATTATCCTGGATATAATTAAAGTGTATTTCTAGACAGAGAAAATTGCTGCCTTAGGATTTATTCTGTACTCTTTATTCAGCATAGAAGTTGCTTAGTTTACAAGTCAAAAGATGATTTTTAATTGCCAGCATCAACATAAAATGAGATCTGGACCAGATATCTGGATCCCTTCAGTAAAATAACATATTTCCTCAACTCCACAAGGCAAAGAAGATAAATTGGAGCAAAAGGCCTGGAAGAACCAGGTGATTTGGAGATGTAAAAATACTTTTTTTTTTTTACCTGATTCAACACATATTGAAGTAAAGGGGAAGGGGGAAAATGGGGTGTCTCAGTATTAACTCAAAAGGAGCTGAACTCAGCTATAACAGCTGATCACATCCCACTGGAATCGTTGAAAGAGTATCATCAACCTCAAATGATTAAACTCTTGTTACTGAAACGAAATCCTTATCATAGCTGAGTATTAATGAAAAAACATGGCAGATACTGTTCCCAGTAAAAGCATCTGCAAAATTCACATCAACTTCACCACTGCAAGGCCACACCCTACTGTAAATTCACAAAAAGGAAGGGCTAGAAGGGACAGCATGAGGTACACTAGGATCCCCTCTCTCATTTCTGTTTAATTTCTAGCATCCGTGTCATTTCTGACACATTTGCCCACCCTGTTGCTAAACAGGCTTTTCAGGATAATCTGCAAATTGTAATTGTAAAATGTTCTTAGCTGCAACTTACGTCCATTCCTTGTAGCACTAGGTGAGCTAACCTCATGCCAGACAGCCCCAGAAATAAAAGCCAGCAAACTAGTTAGTATTTTTAAGCACACTCTACACTGAGGCCGAAGAGCTTTAACACGTGAAAGAATCGAACACCACGACGAATTTTATTTTATCTGTAGGTGCAAACACCAAGTTCTTTGCACAACGAGCAGCCCGATTCTTTGCTCCTGCCGTCTTACTCGCCACAGCAAGGAAATATGGGGTATCATCAGACACAGCAGCAGCAGCAGCAACAACTAACGTCAAGAAGAAGCAATAGCTTATCAGAATCATCCAATTTACCACAGCCACTGCGATAAGTCCCACCAGCACAATCAATGCACGATTAGCTTTAACCAACGGGCACACGGGGCAGAAGAGAATGACTTTGTACTTACTGTTTTGGCTTTTGCACAAGCATTTCTTTCAAAGCTCTATGACAGAAGTACGCCACAGAGTGCAGGCTGCCACAGACAGTGCACTTACGGCACGCTGGATTCAGTTTGCGCTGTCTCGTGAGCACAGCATTTACTGACAGAGCAAAAAAAAGAAAAGGAACACTATCCTGTGCAGCCTCCGTCATCACCGGGTGCACGGGAGGAGGCGTTCAGTCTTGGCGTGTCGCTCTGACAGCTATCTGGCAATTCCAAAAGACTGTCGACAGACTCGTGAGGTACTTGGCCTTCACTGTTTCAGTTCTTCTTCTGTGTATGAAAAGCACTGCGTCAAAGGTCTATTGAGGAGAGAACAAGAGATTATTTTTATTATGATTATTGTTATTATTTTGCACAACTGCACAGAGGACAAAACCTAGGCACTTTCTGTAAAGAGAAATTTGTTTCCTTATTCTCATGGCCAAATTAGCACATCCAATGGAGAAGAAAGCCCAGTCATTGGTGAAGATGGTCTACAGCTCATAACCCTTGATTTAGAAGCTGAAAAGTATTACGCAGCTTACCCTAACTGTTCTTCATGACTAGAAACACACAAACCACAACCCACAGTGGACTGTTTTCTATCCGAATTGTGATTGCAAAGGAGAACTCAAATTGTAAGCACAATCATGCAACTCTCCAGTAGTACGACACGGATCCTTCTTCAAACTAACTCACCCACTGCAAGTCTCTGAGAAATATGCACTGTGTTTTGGCCCACTGACTCGGGATGCTGCAGACTATTACATATCTCTTTCATTGTAACATTTAGGATTGAATTTTCCTTTGGGGGGAAAAAAGAAGAAATGCACTTTTCGCTTTTTTTGTATGTTTTCTGTTGATATGTTTCTAAGAAAGATTTTATGTAATTATTAAATAAAAAGTAGTGTATTGTACAGCCGTTGTAATAATGACCTATTTCTATATAAAATAAAATTATATGGAATTATGTGGAAATTATTTTGTATATGAAATATCAACTCATTTCACAAGTATAAAGATTGTGCTTGTGCTTTTTTGTGAGTGGGTATTTTGTAATAAACTAATGAATTAGAAATGTTTTTGTGAAGGGAACTACTGTTTCATGCTATATACAACTCAAACCATTATTTTTTTCCATTGATGATGGACAGTTGTCTTTATTTGTAGAATAAAATAAAATAGCCAAAAGGTTTATTGCAGGACTTGCACACATTTTCCTGTGGCTGTTCAACTATGTGATTCACTTCAGGTTGTTAATATTAGCTGTAGCCTTGCAAGGTGCTTGGCACCCAGTTAGCAAAAGCGAGCTGTCATCCTATGGGACCTTCCTCATGGCACAGATGACGAGAATGATAGCTCAGGAAGTTATATTAGCTGCTAGCCAAGGCAGCTCATTTTAAGCTATCTTAGAACTTTAAAAAGACCTCAGGTAGCTCTGTACTTCCAAGCAAGCAGTTTTAGATTAGGACAAAATAGATGATTTAAAGAATGGTTTGACCCAGCACACACCAGGGCTTTGACCCATGTCCAGCCTCAAAGTTTTAAGACATTGCTGTCCTGAGATTCGTGATGCAGCTCTGCTGGAATTGCTACCGTGCCTATACTGCAGACAGTGTAGTTCCCACTTTTACATTCTCGTGCAGAGTCTTCTTCATGTTCAATTCAAATTGACTACAGGATGGAGCAGCCCAGCTACAGGTCTGCTTTCCCTCTGCTGACTCCACTGCAGGAGCAGCAACCTCCAACACAGAACAAGGTCGACAGCTGAACACTGTAACGTTGTCACTCACCACGACGAGACTGAAAGGGGATGGCCCTCAGGGCAGCTTGCAGCCACCCGAGCCAGCGTTAGCTTCGTAAGAGCACAGACCACGCTGCCCTCCCCACCCTCCAGTACCAAAGATCACATCACAGGGGCCCACGCGTTCCGCTCTGGTTTCTATGCCATAGAGGAACATCGGAGATAACTGTCCTGGGACCTGGAAAAGCTAAAAGTAAACTGTCAGAAAAGTAAAAAAGGTTCATTTGCCCCGAGTTCTCAAAAGCCTTCTGAAAAAGCTAAAAAGCTCCTGGAGAAAACCCACTGGCAAAATGACCCTGCTGCTTCCACAGCAAGACTGGCGGCTAGGACTGATCAGTGCAGGTGTATTTCAGTCCATATGATCCCTTTGTTTTACTTCATTGAAGGAAGATGAGGGAATCAAGTATCTGGTCTCTGAAAAGTGTTCAGAGATCAGATCTGGTCTCTAAGAAAGTGGTGTTTTCACTGCTAACTTTAGGTGCCAGTCTGAGTTAGCCTGCTCATCGATAAATTCTTGCATTCGGTGAAGCAAGAGTGACCCCATCAGATGAAGATTAAAGAGCTAAACCTTACAGTGCTTTCATCTGATGTCTGAAGGAACCTCTCTCTGCCCATTAACTACAGACAAACCTTAGCAAAGGCCATTCGGGTAAATTAGAGGCTAACTACATAAATGCCACCCTCTCCTGTAAGGGCTTACTCTGGGAAAGGGAAGGGGAAATTTGTTTGTAGGCCACAAAGTTCTTGCAGGAAAGAGGTAATGAAGGAACGTAAGCACCTCAGAGGAAATACCTGCAGAAGAAGCACTTGATGGATCTCAACTGCTATGACGGAAGTCACAGGAAAAGAGAAAATTCCCTTAAGAATTTTAGTCTCAGAGACAGTTCCAATACACTCAGTCCTCTCCGGATTGCCAGTGGGTATGTCCAAACCAAGCTCAGCCTCAGTGCAAACACTTATCTTTCTAAAACCAGCAGTACTGTAAGCTGTTAACAGGGAGAAGCTGTAATTGAAGTGAGGGTGACTTCTCACAAGCTGGCTTATTATATTGTCTGGAAGGATACAGGGCACTTGCAAGAAGAGATTCACGTCAATACCAGGCGTTTCACGCTCCATCTCATTTCTCCCCCCCCATACACTCGTTCTGGTTTTGGATTATCGTCCTTACTCCCTGTTGCACCTCCACGCAGCACCAGCCCCCTGCACAGAGCTGGGCGGTTGCTCGTTATAGCCGAGACCCAGCTTGTTCCGACACCATCGCTCAGCCTGGGTCACGGCTCCAGGGGGAGCACATGGCCCCACGTTGCCTTATCACAGAATCATTAAAGATGGAAAAGACCACTAAGATCATAAAGTCCAACCGTCAACCCAACACCACCATGCCTGCTAAACCATGTCCTGAAGTGCCACATCTACATGTTTTTTGAACACCCCCAGGGATGGTGACTCCACCACTTCTGTGGACAGCCTGTTCCAGTGCTTTACAACTCTTTCAGTAAAGAAATTTTTCCTAATATCCAGTCTAAACCTCCCCTGATGCAACTTGAGGCCATTGCCTCTCGTCCTATCGCTGGTTACCTGGGAGAAGAGACCAACACCCCCCTCACTACAGCCTCTTTTCAGGTAGTTGTAGAGAGCAATGAGGTCCCCCCTCGGCCACCTCTTCTCCAGACCAAGGCCCTTCTGCCTCAGCAGCGGGGGCGGCAGCCCCGAACAGGGCATCCTGCTTGCTAGGAGCCGAGCCC